TGAAAAGCATTACTTTCGAGCAGAAAAGTATCAACATGGAAAGCCGTTTGCATCTCCAAGGAATGCCTCCGGGGTTCACTCAAAGTATATCCGTGAATAAAGCGTATACCGCATTTCAATGGGCTCATAAAAAGCCACAAATTTTAAACATATGGTTTATAAATAATGTATGTAAGCCTTTTTCAGGAGCAAAATGCATTTAGCCGGATGCGTAACAAGTATGTTTCTTTCACACAAGATCTGAAAATTTAAAGGCAAAAGGAACCTTTGAGCTATCACTCCAAATTGGTAGTTTTCACTCTACAACAGCTCAGTGGTCAAAACCAGATGAAGCTAGTGATAGTACCTTGTGCTGAACGTAAAACCAAAAATATTTTAGGCTGCAATTTATGGATGAATATAATCTGTTAGTTTCATAGAAAACGTACAAGAAAGTGAAGTCAAAAGATGAACTGATTCTTATATTTTTAAAACAGTACAACATAATCATACTGACATTTGTTTAAGCGTAATGTAATATACATTCGCTTTTCTCTTTGATTTTCTTGTTTTGTAGTCATCTTAATACTCCCGGCTGAACCAAGCGTTTCAGACTAAGTATCATGTAAAACCATAATGCTTTGTACTGTTTATCAAATGATAACAATATACCGATCATCATCAATTTAATAAGCGGTCAAATAAAGGTTACTAACAGGTTTCGCAAATAAACATGTATGATATGATTGGGAAACGCAATTGGGAAGTGAATGATGGTGTTGGTAATCGTTTGGCCATCGCCATCTCCACCATACTATGTCTCAGTGCCATAGGTTGTAGGACGAGAACTAGTACCATTTATCCCGTAGTAACTTCCTGAAACATAATCTTATTGAAGTCGTCCATATTCACTACGCTCATGTAAAATGATCAATAAAATCATCCACGTGAGGCAAAATAGAACCTCACAAAGAACATCGACCACTTGGTACTCCTGCAGAACAGCTGAAAACGTGATGCGAAAATCGGTAACGTCATTCTGGCTACTCATAACGTTGTAAGTAGCAAACCGACAAACCGATAAGAAATAAACCCTACAAATTGAATTCCGGAATTCGAAGTTCATAACACAAATGAAACCGAATGTATTTACTGTGTTGCCCATCTTGAAATGGTTATTTAAAAATAGGTTTGCTAAGTTTTATCGGTGAAAAGAAGCATAATAGGACTATGGTGTTATGAGTTAGTATAAATTCACACAATGCACAGTATGTTGATTCCCCGAGGGGTTAGGCAAACACCATTATGTAATTATTCAAAGTGCACGATTGTACAGAGTATTCAGCTTGTTTTTGTATATGAACACACTTGCCTCAAAGGTTCTTCTGAGTATTTATTTGAACCTCTCATTTTATATGATTCATTTTCACATTTTGCAATTTTTATCTTCCCTACAATATTGTTGAAATTTACATGCACCAGAAATGTTTGTGATAATCAACAAAGAGCGCTGGATAGCTGTTCCGTCCTGTCTGGGGTGCCTCAGCTGTGTATCGTTTCTGTGTCACTGTCAGCACTCGAACCGCTAACCTTCTGATTGGGACTACAAACCCTTACGCTTGAGCTACAGTAGACGGTCATCACCTTGTGCGAACGGCTCATTCAATTATAGAGTAGCCAGATTAAATTAACCCGTTCGTTTGTTAAGAGGCAGCAGGTACTCTGAATGTTGTTGCCAAACAGGACCAAAAAGCTATCCATGGCTAGTTGTTGGTTATCACAAACATGTCTGTCGCATGTGAAAGCATGACATTGTAGGCAATTACCGATCTCTCAAGGAGTGAAATCCACACCCAAGAACATCAAAGGTGCCTGATGCATCTTAACAAGGGAATGGGCCAATTCAAGTTTGCTACTCTTAAATTGTTGAGATTTATCAGGAAAATATTCCTTCCCTTTACAATTCTCAGATCTTTTGGCCTTTTTCGTTATTTCTTTATATTTCCTGAGTTCACGAAATAAGTGGGATATTTTCCTTCGTGATGGTTTCCGTGGATGTCTTCGGTTTCACATTGTGTGCGCTGCGTACAACATAAACCCATCTTGATACCACTGAGTTAGAGCAGAGAGGAAAGCTATTTGAATTGGAGAATACTATTCTTGTAATTGTATATTGTACCAAGATGCAGCAATTGACTTCTGCATTATACATTTTCTTTCTAGTTTCGATTTCTTCACAATGACGAATGTATCATCAAAGTATGGGAGCCAACATTTTGATGTTATTCTTGGTAGTACATCCTTGCCCATCTTTTGCATTACGGCGTCCGCTGTCAACCCAGAAATTGCTGATACCATTGGTTTTCTTTTCAGCTACTGTTTAGATTTCACCCTCGAATTTGAAGTACGTCTGCATACATAGTTCCATGAGTGCGTAAATTGCAGCTGGTTTCATTGGTTTGTTTAGTGGCTGCTCATTTATCAATTATCGTAATGGGCATCTTGCCACGTCCAAGTCGATTGAGGTGAACAAAACGTTGACGTCGGACGAGACCATTATTTTATCTTCTTCGATGTTGATAGTTTTGAGCTCGTCCAGGAACTTCCTTGAGTTCATGACACTACATTCGTGTCCTGCGGTAAGCGGCTTCAGTCGTTTCCAAAATGTCTTTGCTAAATTTTATGATCGTTTTCGGAAGGATGGTGAGTGATCTTAAAGGAATTCCTTCCTTGTGTGTTTTCGTCGGTCCGTTGAGTTTTGGGGTATGACTGAGTTTTGGCTCTTATTATGCAGTGCTTCCCTTTTGTTCTTTGATGCAGTTCTTCGAGCTGTTTCAATGTAGTATTGATTTTCAAGTGAGTTGTGGAGGATTTGGTTCAATTTCAAAGGTGAATTCGTCCTGCGTATAGCAAATGAGGCGTAAACTGAAAGACTATGAAGCACTGGACAGCCGTTTCGACCCGGTTGGGTCTCATCAGCAGTACGAATCCATCGCCTCAGCTGATTTGCTTTCCATTTTTGCAGTTGGATAAGTATCTGCGGTTGGTGTTATTTGCCTTAGAGTAGTTCCTTAGCCTATTGAATGTACTTAATTTTATTCATAACCAAAGTACTTCTCCCTTCATCCGCTGGGAGTAGGACAATATTTTTTCCATCTTCTGCATTTTGAGTGCTTTGTCTTCGTGGTTTGACAGCATGCTGTTTTTTTCTTTTCTCTCTTTTTAAGTTTTATATCTGGTGATTAATTTCATCAATTCTTTCACGGTCTTTGAAAAAAAAATTTAGCTGTAAATGCATTTGATCATGTATTTGGTAAAGATCCCCTTTGTAGCCTGAGTGTTTGGAAAAATAATATACTCGTTTGACATAGTTTGTTTTATACCTTATCGCCCTACAGTTGACCTGAGTAATGCACACAGATGCTGATTGGTTTAAATCAGAAATGATGTATGCACATGTGAATCATTCAGTTGGTGACGAATACAAACAAAATCAGTGATGCAAGTGAAACACAATGATGAATGTTGGAGCCGCAAGAGTGTTTCCCGAACCTAGGCAATATACTCTCTCATTCTTGTTCTATGAGCTGCAAATTATTGGGACACATATATGTAACGTGAGTAACCTTTGAGCTATGTTGCTTTATTGGGTTCCGTTTTGTGCATCGTATACCACACAAACCCAACAAATGTCTTACAGAATGACATTATGTGAAATTGAAAACACACGAGGAAATAAATTAGATACGAAACACTATAATTTGTGCCCGTGCACTAACATTTTTCCCACAAATAAAATATCAAAAATTTGTTTGTGCCTGATACAATAATGTGTTGTTTCATTTTTCTGCAAACAGAAAAATGAACTCGTATCTGCGAAAAAATGTCGTTGAAGATCAAAAATTTATGTCAATCCTGGTGCAGTTTTGACTGCTGTAAGTTGAGCGTAAATAGGTTCACAGCCCTTGATAGTTTGTCTCCAAGACAGACAGAGGCATTACCGAAGAACATGATTCACAAAGGATTATCGTCAACCAGAGGTGAGCTTACGTAGACGAACCGAGGCAAGTTTAGCAACAGAAAGCACATAATGATTCCGATATTTAATGCGCACAAGGAAAACATTGTGAGAACACTATGTAAGATCAGCACTGATACTACATCCTATCCACTGCTTGTGCAGAATGATTGTTTTGAAGTAGTATTGCTCCCTATTGAGATATCGATTACTCCTATGGGTGCAAAGACAGCACTGAATAATGAGGAAGGTCAAACAAGATAAGAAAACCTCCTTTTAATACACGGTTCGCATCCAGCGATTTAAGTCAGAAAATAACAGTCAGATAACCATCAAGAACATTTACAACTTAATTTATTAGCATTGGGAGTTGCCATATGAGTATAAGGCTAACTGTAGACGAGTGCACATATCAAATTCATAAAATCACTGATATTGTTTTAATAAGGATGTTTGTCGATGCGGTTGCTTGCTGATACTTTTATCTACAGATCCATCTTTTAATAGCAACTTGAAATTCTTCAAAGCTTCACTCAAACTACAAAACCCACAAACAATTAATTGATTTTGTTCGATTACTTAATCCAGCTTTTTCAGTTTGAAAGATGTTTGATAATACCAATGTAGTGTAGTGGAAATCGACTTAACTAATCTAATCTTAAATGTGTGAAACGAAGTGAACAACGGAAACCTACCGATAGTCTGGTAAAGTTGCGTAATTTGAGCAGTCCTTTTTGTGTTAAATGACTGCCGATTCTGGTAAAACTATATTCACTGACCAACAAGAAATGAATCAGAAAATGGTCTGGCTAATCGGAGCAAGTTTTCCAATGATCAGGCTGCAAAATATTCGTCCAAATAGTTTATTTGCATAAGCTCCGCCATCAACCTAAAAATCAAATTAAATTCTTATTTATTTTCACTGTGACAGATTTGAAGCAGTTGTGCAATAGCATTGATTAGCAAAAGCTTGAATTGGAGTTTGCTTCGATAAAACTGAAAAATGAATGACCAAGAAGACAACAGGCCCGAGGAGCGTTTGGATGGAGTTGATCCAAGGATATACTTTGGTGCTATGACGTGCGGAATGGTAGAGGGTGCTGCTATCGGGGCCACAATGGGCACGTGGCTGAGCCCGGTTATTGGCACCATAGTTGGAGGAGTGTGCGGTGCGATTCCCGGGATGCTGGGCGGTGCAGTTCTGGGATTCAAAATCGGAAAACGCGTGATTTTTACAACTAATTGCACGGCTTGTGGCAAGGAGTTCAGCGCACGCAAATGTATGGGTAAAATGGAACACGTGAAATGTGAGAACTGTCGGTAGTGGCATAACAACACGCAATGAACACCAAGCTCGTAGCTTTGCTCCAAGCAATGCTATTCAGTATTAGGTTTGAAGGAGTTATCGCGCTGAAAACCTGGTGAACTAACAAAACGTTAAACGCTGGTACATCAAACTTCAAAGTACCAAAGTAATGACGTGGCTCCATTATCATCTATTTCCATCCGTTTATCTTTATGGTTTAATTTACTATATACACATACATTGCCAGATAAAAGTACCAAACTATATGCCCCTTGTTATTTCATCAGATCTTCTCTTTCTTCATGGTCTTTACAGTTCAATAAAATGTATTATCAAGCGAATTTTTATTTCTCATTTGTCGCGGATCGAGTCCATAACAAGCCATTACCCTTTGTCATAAGACTATTTGAGCAAAAGCAATACTAGTTGGTATTCACCGCCCTCCTCATACTATGTTATGTTCCTGTACGTTTACTCAGAATTCATCACATGATAATCTGACTTAGCTAAGCATTTATCACTCAGAGAAAGGCGAATTATTGATTTGAAACAAATTATCATTTCCCAGAGTTTTTAACATACATTTTATTTCTCATTTCAAAATTTATTTTATGAAACCGATTTTTATGTCGTAGTGTATGCCAAAAAGTAACACGATACGGGATGTGTCTTATTCGAATAGACTTCCTCATCATTTGTCCGATCGATATGGAGATACAACCAAAATATACAACCGAAAAATAGTATTTTGTGTATCTATTAACTACTTTGTTGAAACAGTGTCCGAAAAACAGAACCGAACAGGCTGGATGGTATGATGTGCCCACAGGCTAATTCATCAAACTTTATATCAGAATGGTGAGTGAGGATAAAATCAATACAGATTGAAATCAAGGAACCACGTACCAGTTTCACGGGTAGATGTTCCTCACACTGTTTTCATCAAAAATAGATTGGTTTTCGTTATTAGGTCGGATCGGGATATACCGGTGTCATGAAAGACCGAGTGTAATAGCGAGCCGTTTTCGTGCGCATCGGAGGAAGGCATGTAGACGGATTCATATCGCTTCTGCAATGGTGAAAATACGACTCCTGGTTCATTTGAATCGACCGCTGCGAACTGAATAGAGATGGTTTTGCGCCTCGGCCACTATAACGAAGTGACTTAATTCTTCCACGTGGTAAACGAGCTGGCGGAATCATTGGGATAAACTTCTGCTTGTACACTCAATATACTCTGCCCAAAGGGAACAGGTAGATGATTTCACATTGAAGGTGACTGCGGGAACAAGTAGTTTCATTTTCATTTAGGTATGCAACAGCGGCCTAGAGATAAACACAATTGGATGGGTTGCAACGAGAAGTGTCTGTTCTACAAATGGAATCAATGGACGCGTTAATATCTGTACAGTTGTGTTGTTATAAAAGGTTGCTGACTTGCACTCCAAATTCTTTCATAAACGGCAGTGATCTTATTTTGTAGTTTAGTTCACCCATCGGTCTGGGTATTTGTTCCGAACTAAAACTTCTCCAACAAACCTCAGTTTACTCTCAGTGGTATCGTGTGTTGATATACACCATGGCTTGGTACGTGGCGGTTTTGTAAGCAGCATGTTTGAATTGCGCTGGCTGGTTCTGTCAACTGTCAAAAAATGATCAGGACCTAATAAAACGAATAACTGTACTCAAAATGGTGATCACGGGAAATGCGCATTCACTATCGGACCGGTCCATTAATTATCATGTGCTTGTGAGACTTCTGTAAACTTGTTGCAAATGAGACTTTTTGTTTTAGCTATACCAATTTTCTGATACTGTTTATGCTGTCCGCAACAGTAGCTATCCTCCTTCCGGAATCGCCTTGTGGATTTACAATAGTAGTAGTAATGGCTTTTCACTATATCACTCGTGAAAGAGACCATTTGTGTTGAATGTTTCGTAAATAAGTCCCGATAGAATTTTTCTTAACCCATTCAATAACGATACATTGATATCTCTCAGTCTATTATTATTCATGAGTTATCCTTGATTATCCACAAAGTTTCTATATATTTAGACAGTGTGCACATTACACAAATCGTTTTTGAATGAGTCTGGTGCGGTGATTTGAGCAAAATGTCAATTTTTATATTACCTTCAGAAAACAGCGTAGGACAAATCATTACAGTGGAGTACCTAAGCCTCTGCAATTGAAAACTTTATTTAACGGTCCTCTTCTGGTGTACTAAAATCAACCCTTTTAGGTTGAGTATTCAAACAAAGGTTTGGTTGCCAAGTTTTTGATCCATTTTCTTCAGTTTTTAAAATAACTATTCAAGTTTTAAAATCAAATATTATTTACTCTCTACTTAAATGTGGTTTGCATATATTTTGTACCGCTCTCAGGTCTGCTACCCCATCAAACCTGTCATTGGATTGCTTTGCTTTGCTTTTGAGAGAGATGAGGATTTGGATGTGGCTGTGGAGTATTCTTTCATTCAAAATGATGTATCTCACTTAGCTTTATATTCAGCTCCGCAATAACTACGTGAATAGAAAAATAATTGATTGTTCTTCATATCACCTAAGGCAGCAGAGTGGTTTTAACTACCCCATTTGACCCAAATGTCATCATTACATTTTGTGGTACAACAGGAAGTAATCATGGAAGTAAAGTTTTCTCTGATTGATAACCGAATACAATCCAGGCGAAATAAATGACCTGAAACTATTCGCTTTGTGTTTCAGCACAACAAATATGCGGGTCTCAGGTCAGAGTCATTATTATCCTGCTAGCAATCAGCCAATTGTTTCCAACAGTAGAGTGTTTGAGTTGCCTCAATCGTAGATCCAGTGAAAAGATAAACTTCAAGCTTTCTGAATTGTTTGAACCGCACAGGAACCATGAGCATTTCACCTCGCAAAACAATGATTACATTTGTGAACTTCTTTAAACCTTCATATTCAGGCACATCTGAAACATGCATGTTTAGGTAGGTACAAAGTGATGGTTTATTGTTTATTCACGACCTATGGTTATTTCGGATCTTAAATGGAGGTTTGACAAACGGAACAACCCTCGAACTCTCCATAAACCGACAAATCCGGTGCTGTAGTATAGCTGCAGCATCTGAGGCATTCGAAATCAGGGAAAGTATTTCTGAATCTTATTGATTTTCAACCAATTAGAGAGAACAATTTTTGGCTAAGCTGTATCGTTGGGTTTTGAATTTTCTGCTATC